GTGTGTGTGTGTGTGTGTGTGTGTGTGTGTGTGTGTGTGTGTGTGTGAGTGAGTGTGTGTGTGTGTGAGTGTGACAGCCTGTGTAGCCCTGGGACTACCTGGTGCTGGGCCATCTTGTGAGAGCCAAAAGGACGAACACTGACTCAGACTACAGGACCCAAGCAGGACATAAAGCAGCACCAGACTCAATACTCAATGCCACCCTACTCCACCCCTGCCAAGGACTTAGGCATCAAGGGAAGGAAGAGGCCATAGTCCACCACAGTGAGGGAAGCTCATCTTCCACTGACCCCAGCTTCCTGCCATTGTTAGGGGCTGCATCCGAGCCAACCTGGCTCAGGGTTTGTAGCCATCAGCATCTGTTCCATGTGAACCTTTTCATAAACATCTGTTACGGACTGTCTTCTGTGTCTTAGTTTACCCATCTGTGACCTGGGTTCACAGGACCACTGTAAAAATCCAGTGTGATCACGTAAGCAGCCAGTACTGTGGACAATAAAAGCTGCCACTACCATTCATTCTCAGCTTTGCATGCACTTCACAGCAGCCCCTGGGGAGGTGGCTGACATGCAGATCCCTGGGTTCCACTGCTCAGAGTCTGTGGCGGCCCAAAATATATTTTAGCTAGTCCCCCATGTCCAGGACCACCTACCCTGGCCCAGGCTGCTGCAGAGGCTGTTGCTCTCTGATAGGAAAGGGCTCCAAAAGTCCATGTTCATGGTGCCTTCTTTGAGGACTCACCCATCCCTCCCACATGAGCAAGGGTCAAGCTTGGGGCTCTCTGCAGGGGAATGAATCACACACCTAGATGTGGTATGCCGATTTTCCATGCACTTGTTTCACGGAAGGCAGTAGAAGGAAAAGTACCTGCAGAAAGCCCACATGCTTTCTGTCAGTCATCTGCTGAACCAGTGTCTGAACCCATTCCTTGAGATGAGAGTGACTATGTTTGGTTCTGTGGGCAGACAGTGTCTGTTGGTATCCACCTGACTTTGCCAATGCAGTGGTGGTGCAACAGGTGGGCAGATGTGCAGACGAGGGGCAAGAAAAGCAACGGGAGACACAGACTTGCATTTTATGATTTTTCATGTCATGAAATTTATAAAATATTCACATTATAAAGTATTCTTTTGACTTTTTCCAGTCATCCCCAAAAAATCATTCTTAGCTCTCATCCATACACAGCCAGCAGGGCTGTAGGTGCCAGGCCATAGAAAGCAGCCTAGCCTCTGTAGGAGAAGTAGCATCCCATTACCAAACACAGGCAGCAGGCTACAGCCGGTAGAGCAGGTCACAAATGTCAGACTCCAGAACCAAATGGTTTACAAGAAAGGGAGAGAACACCTCCTCTGCTCAGCTCCTCTGTGGAGCAGCACTGCTCTCTGTGGGGCAGCACTGCTAAGGAAGCAATGTGGAAGGCAATAGGAAAGGTCAGCGTATCGGTGCACCCCGCCCTTGGCATTTGACACATCTTCTGGACTGGCTACTTCTCTATCTTCACATGGAGCCCTGGAGCACTGTCCTCAGGATCCAATGAGCACCTGGCCTGTCCCATGTCGCATCAGAGAACATATAACACTCACGATCCTGGCTCTCGGTCTAATAATGCTCCCATTCCCTCCTGCCTAGGCCTTTGCACCCCCCTCCCCAACCTACACTTGCTTCTGACCCTGTCCCAATCCCAGCTCCTTAACTTCAGACCACTTCCCCTGGTCACTGTGTGTCCCCCCACTCCAGTACTCTTTCAATGTATAGCCGTTGGTTTACCCCCCACGGTTTCTCCTCCCTCCTGAGTAAGCTCATAAGAGTCCCCCTTTTACCCCAGATCCTAGAACACTGATGGGCATATACTAGGAGTTCAACCCTTTGTTTTTTTTTCTTTTTTGCAGTGCTAGGGATGGAAAACAGGGTCTTACACTCACTAGGCAGGTGTTCTACACTGAGTTCCAAGCCTCCAAGGAACTCAGCTGTCACGGTGCATTGGGCATATGCAGCTGAATGAAGAAGACAGGGCTGGTGAGCGTGGAAGGCGGGCCGGCTGCACTCCACTGACTGCTAACTTCCGGGTGGAGGTTACAGTCTCTGCAGTAGCAGGTGCTGGCTGACCCTGCCGGATTGCCATCCTTCCTGGTGCACAACAGGACTATACACAAGACCCTCCCTAGTTCAGGGCTCAAGGAAAAACGTGAGTTCTTGTTCAAAAATACTCTTCCTACCTTCTCCACAGAGCCGCTCAGTCCTCGAGAGCTGCAGCTGAGTCAAGATCTCTACTCAGACAGCACTTTGTTTTTTCTTTTTTTGGATACTCTCAGAAACAAAAGCCACTCATGTGCGAGCAAAATGGGCAACATTTCACAGAAAGTGGAGCTCTTAGTCTGGCCTGGTGGCACAGGCCTGTCGTCTCAGCTACTCAGGAAGCTAAGCAAGGAGGCTCACAAGTTCAAGGCCTGCCTGGACAACTTAGCAAGGCCATGTCTCAAAAATAAAATGGACCATTAAGATGACTTATCATGTGAAGGCCTGCTATTAAGTAAGCCTGATGATGCGTTCAGGCCCACGGACCTACCTGGTAAAAGGACAGAACTCATTCCCTCTAGCAGTCCTCTGGCCTCCACGTGCATGCTTTTAACACGCGAGTGCTCATGTGTGCACATACACAAATAAATAAAAGGTAAACATTTAAAAACTTGAAAAAGAAAAAATAGGGCTGGGTGTATAGCTCAGTGCAGAGCAATCACCTAGTTTGGGGGGTGACTTAGGTTCAAATCCCCCAAGAGAAAAGAGAAAAAGAGAAGCTGCATCCTTGGTCTCCAGCTTCCTGTGCCAACTCATAGCATCAGCTTTCTCTCTCATACAAAACGATAAAAATGAAACACCAGCTAATTCCGAGGGTAGACAGGAAGTGACATCATTTGAGCACTACTATGTATTTGACGTGTGATACATTTCATGGGATGGGATCCATATACAGTAATCTATAAAGCTCAAATGAGGTATGTCCCTAGATGAGGGCACATGGAGGCCCAAAAATGTGACATTATTCATCCAAGAACACACAGCTAGAGAGAAACTGTTTTAGGTAAAAAGAAACTGAGGCAGTACCAACCTTCCCCAGTCAAAAGACTCTTCCAGGACCAACAACTGTGAGAACAGCTGGGAAGGAGGATGTCCAAGCAGTTGATGAAACCAGAATCAAAGCTGGGCAGGGTGGCACACGCCTTTGATCCCAGCACTCGGGAGGCAGAGGATCTCTGTGAGTTTGAGGCCATCCTGGTCTACAGAGCTAGTTCCAGGACAGCTAGGGCTGTTACACAGAGAAACCCTGTCTTGAAAAACTGAAGACTTTTTTTTTTTACTTTTTTTTTTAACCAACCTAACAAACCCCAGCATCTTCCTGAAAATTAATGTGCACAATCTTAACTTTGAAGAGAGTAGAAAAGTCCCTCTAAGTGGAAGCCCACACTTCCCTGCTTAATTTCCAATGGGAAAGTCGGTCTTCTTAT